GTTTTCTTTGTTGCGCCGTGCAGAGTGGCAGCAAGTTACAGCAGCTGTGTCCTCATTGTGTTCTTTTCCGTGCTTTTATAAAGTCCTGTTCTTATGGTGTTATGTTGGTTGTTCTCTATTGCTGCTGTAACAGAAATTTCCCCACTGAGGGATCAGTAAAGTACCTACTCTACTGTACTGTACTCTACCCCAAATTTAAAGCTAAAAAATATAATCAACTCTCTTATTCACATCATTTGGTAAGATTCATTTATTTAGTTTATAGACAAGAAGGAAAACATATGACAATGAAAACTAAGAAGTAAAATAAATAAAGTTCAAATCGAGCCAAGAATCAAGGTGGAGTGATTGAGTGCACCATCCTGGGATCATACCAAATAAGGGAGCAAATATATTGATAGAAAATTGCTCTTTCAGTTTTTGCCTAAAAAACAGGAAAACAAAAATGTAAGATTTTTTATCATGCTTTTCAGACTGTTTGCCATTGTTTGACTGGAGCTTTGTCTAGACCATGTCATATTGTGGTAGATAGTCAAGTCTTGATCATTTTCAACTGAAGGTCCTGTAGTGCTGATCCTCATCTTCAGTCGTACTTCTTCTGGGGCGGTTTGTTGCGGTGGTGCAGGGATGGTGCCAACAGTGCAACACCATCATCATCGTCGTCATTGCTCATGGTGGGCCGAGCCTTACAGCAGAGGTAACACAAGATGGCAAAGATGGCGAGCGGGAAGCTGACCAAGAAGCAGCCGAGCAGCGGAGCCTGGCTGGACACCAGCTGAATAGATGGAAGATGGAGAGGTCAGAGGTCACGAGACAGACGACTGGAAAAAAGACTGATAATGATGATGATGACACTTTATTACAGACTCAAGGTCCAGGTTCAAAACAAATAAAAGCAATAAAAGAACAGTTTAAAAACGAAACAATAAAAACAGAAAATACATAAAAACGAGAGCACAAGAACACCCATAAAACTACTGCCCCTTTAAAAGACAGGTATACCAGTGTTTCCAGAGAGCAGAAGTAAAACGCATGTCACTGTGTGCAACATTAGTCAACAATAAAATGATATGATTTTTTGAACCATTCAAGCGACAAATAAATTTAAACATCAGGTTTCTTAAAACAGCGGAAAATGTACTAACTCGAGATGACACGAACAATTCACTAGCACTCGTCCATCTAGGCTTTCTCAATAATAGCCTTAGGGCGTCATTGTAAGCTACTGACAGTTTCCGAAGACTGCCCTTTTTATAATTACACCACAGATGAGCAGTGTACAAGGAAGTACAATAC